AAAAAAAAAAAAAAAAAAGAAAAAAAAAAAGAAAAAAAGAAGAGGAAAAAGAAAAAAGGAAGAGAGAAAAAAGTAAGAGATTCAGTATCTACATTATCTAAATAGGAAGATGTATTTTTTTTTAATTATTTTATCTTCATTATATATCATGAAAATTATTTTTAGAAATTAAATTTTTCTCAAATATTCGTAAATCTTTACTTAATTTTTTTTTTTTTTTTTTTTTTTTTCCTCTTTGTTCTTATACACACATCATATATATATATATATACATATATGTATATATGAAAATAAAATGAGATTTATTTATGCAATTATTTTTAAATTTATTTTATTATTTTCCGTAAAAGGAAAATTAGATTTGCATTTGTTTCAAAATTTAATTGATATTGATATAGAGTTTATTAATATTAATAAAAACAACATAAAAGTGAAATATGTAAAAAATTATGATACTTTAGTATATGAATATATAAATAAATATATAAATTTAAAAACAAATTATGTTGAAATAACTATAAAAGGAAATTTAAAAAATTTAAATGAAGATTCTGTTGAAAATTTTATTTTTTTATTACCATATCATGAAGCTTTTCAGGTTTTTCTCTTTTTTTAATGATACTTATTATATTTTAATTATTAATACTATATAATTATATATATATATATATATATATATATATCTAATTAATTTGTCTACATATTAAATTATCTTTTAATATTAAAAAAAAAAAAAAGTTTCATTACAAAAGTATATATTTTGAAAAAAAAAAAAAAAAAAATCTTCTTTATATTTTTATAACTTTTTATTTTATCGTATTTTAATTTAGGCAACAAATCTTTATGTAAAAGATGAAAATAAAAATAATTTAAATTATAAAGTATTAAATAAGATAGAAGACATTGAATTAATAAATATAGATCAATTTAATTATGATTTTGATATAGAAGGATTTAAAGTTAAAATATATGAAATTATATTGAATAAAAAATTACAAAAAAATGAAAAAGTCCTTGTAGAATTCTTTTATATTTTAGGTCAACCATATTATCCATTTCCTGTTAATATAAATATTTTAGAAAAGCAAAATGTTTTATTTTATATATCATCAAAAATTCTATTACCATATAATGTAGAAAAAACAGAAGAAATAAAAATAAGTTTGTGTAAAAAATGTACAATAGTTAAAATGGAGGATGAAAATTTTATGAAAGGATTTCAAAAATTAAGTGATGATATTTATGTTAATAAAAAAAAAAATAATTTAAAAAGTTTTTCATTAGGTAGCAAAGTTTTATTTTATTTTATATTAGATCATAATTTAGGATACTTTGAGAAAGTTATAAAAGATATAAAAATATCTCAATTAGGTTTTATATATGAAAAAGAAGAATATTTTTTAAAAAATAATTCTGCTAAAATAAATAAATTTGATAGATATCTGCTAAGTGATTTAGAAAATAAATACACATCTGAAGAATCAAATGAAAAGGAATCAAGCATTATTTATTCATTGGAATCTTTAATAAATTATGATATTTATGAATATAATTATTTCGATGATTTAGGTAATATTTATTTAATTAAAGGGGAAGAATTATATGATAAAAAAAAAAATAAAAATGTTATAAAATTTTATTTAAAACCTAGATATCCTCTTTTAGGAAACTGGACAGCTCATTTTTATAATTCATTTTCTCATTATTCAAATTTATATAAAATTAAAAACAAAAAAAATTATTATGCTTATAAAATAGACATATCACCATCAATCAAATCTTTTTATATAAAAGAACTAAATATTAAAATTGCATTACCTCTTTATTCAAAAGATATTATTATAAATAGAAATTATAATTTAAATATTCAAACGAGCAAAAAAAAAGAATGGCTTGACTTTTTTTCATTTCGAGATGTAATTGAAATCCATGTTGAAAAATTTTTTCCTAAAACTGATGAAAATAAATATAAACATTTTCTTGTAATATATAAATTCAAATTATTTAATATTTTTTTAAAACCACTTATTATAATATTAATATTTTTTTTTATTGTCCTTTTTTTATATTTTATAAAAGAATTATCATTCAAGTAATAACAAAAAAAAAAAAAAAATAATAAAAAAATAAAGCCTCACATGTCTTCATTAAATTATTTTTTATCTATTTATTTATTTTTATTTTTTTTTTGTTTCATAGTTTTAATACAGTAAAAGAACAATTAACAAAAAAGGAGGAAGAGGAATATAAAAATTTTCAAAAAAAATGTAAAGAATTATATGAAAATTTGTCTTATATATCTGGTATATATAAATATCTAAATATTATTTTTAATTAGAATTTGAATTTTTATGTAATTTTTATGTAATTTTTATGTAATTTTTATGTAATTTTTTTTTCTTTTTTTTTTTTTTTTAGATAAATTAATACAACAATTGAGTAAAATAAATTCAAAAGACAAAATAAAAAACAAGGAAAATTTATTGAAAATGGAAAAAAAGTGGACATATGATTTTATATATTTCACTAAAGAATTTCAAAGAAATTTTGAAAATGCTAAAAGGAACGAAATGTTGCAAAGTTATATTGATAAATGTTTTAATTATTATTCAGTTGTTAAAAATTATTTTGAGTTACAATTATCTAGTGATACAGTAAGAAGAAAAAAAAAAGAAAATTCAACAAAAATTTAAATATTTCTAAGTATATATATTTATAAATATATTTCTATATATCTACATTTTTGTAATTTTAAAAGATATTTATTATGTATAAATTAAAAATTTACCTTTTTAAAAACTTTATATTTTTTCTATACTAATTTTTTCTATTTTTTTTTTTTTTTTTTTTTTCTTTATATTTAGAATATTGATTTAAGTGATATAAAATATGCAGAAAAGGAATTAATGCTTTTATTAAAATATAATTAGAGATTAAAAATATAAAATTTTGAAGTTTTTTTATATTATTGTTATAATTATTTATTTAAATTATTTGTATCTTTGAACCTTAAAAAATATTCTATAATAATATGAAGAATATATACTTATATATGTGTATATACATTTTCATTTTTTGTTTTTTTTTTTTTTTTTTTTATTTTTTCTAATAAAATATTTATTCTTATTATTATATTTTATTTCTGATTATTAATTTTGTTTTTATTAATAAGTTGTTTTATCATATACGAAAATTAAATTGTCTATATTTTTATCTTTTTTTGTTTCATAATTTTTTTTTTTTTTTTTTTTTATCATTAATTTCAACATACTTCTGTGATCTAAATTATACCTTTATAAATATAAATTATTAAAAAAAAAAAAAAAAAAGGAATATATACAAGAAAACATAAAAAATGTTGTACATATATGTTTTAATTTTTTCTATAATTATTTCAATAAGTTTAATATTTTCTTTGAAAGTATCTAATGTTTTAAAAAATGAAAAAAATATGAATTTAAACGTATCTTATTTAGGAGAACAAAATTTCTTTTTCAGTGAAATTAAATTAGAAAATAGATTCAAAAATGATATAAAGGGATATATTAAAAATATTAAAAATTTTCAATCATTAATAGAAAACAATGAACCTAATTCTTTACTATACGTTCAGGAAGATTTAATTAATTTTCATAATAGTCAATTTATTGGTGATATAGAAATTGGAAATCCACCCCAAAAATTTAAAGTCGTTTTTGATACAGGATCAAGTAATTTTGCAATTCCTTCAATAAAATGTGTTAAGTATAAATAAAATACAGTTAAAAAGAAATATTATTTTAAAAATAATACATATATATATATATATATATATATATATATATATATATATATATATACATTTTATGTTATCTATTTTATTATCTATTTTATTATCTATATTATTTTTTTTTGTGATTTCCACGTAAAAATATTTTCATATATTATGTTGACATTTTTTAGAGGTGGATGTTCTTCACACAAAAAATTCAATCCTGAAAAATCTAATACCTTTACTAAATTTTTAAAAAGTAAAAAAAAAAACATAAATTTATAAAAATTTTAGTTTAAAAAATATATAAAGATTCCAGCATTACTATTTAACATTTTATTTTATTTTTCTCAATAGATAATAAAGAATCTATTTATACATATATACAAGTAAATATTTATAATTAATTTAAAATTCTAATAACTAAATAAACACTAATATATATATATATATATAATATATCTTCAATTAATATTTTTCATTAATTTTTAAAAAATTTAACTTTTTTTTTTATTTTTTTTAGTACGGAACAGGGACAAGCAGTAATTATAAATATTTAATAACCAGAAAAAAAAAAAAAAAAAAAAAAAAAAAAAAT